TGCTGAACCCCTGAGTAAAGCATCTTCCTCCCTCTCCAATGGACTGGGGCTGCACTTTGCCAGCCCCTTTCCCCAGCACATTCTTCCCAGTTCAGCTGTGGCAAGCTCCCACTTGACTCCCAGCTGCTGACACTCCCACTTGTGCAAGGCAGCACCTTCTGGCAGGCTCCCCTTTAGCAGGGGCCCTGCACACACTGCCACCCAGCCCTCATTAAAGGCTCCAATAAAACCATTTACTGGAAGCTGAAACTGCAACTGAAATAAGATTTCAAAGGCGCAGCTACTGTTGGAAGGGGGCAGGAGTTCTTCCCAGACCCCTCCGACCGAAGCTGGACCCTGCACAACTCAAACACAGGAAGCACCACTCATGCAAACCAGCCACTTCCACAGGCTCCCCGTGACCAGTGACTCAATCCCCACAGCTCTGAATTAGTTTCCTCCTTTTTCCACCTATAGCAAATATAGGCATGTACAGGGGACCCTCCTGTAGGGCAGCCTTTTCCACTGCCCCTCTATAGCCTGGTCTATAACCAACCAGTAATCTTTGTGCCAGGGGTTTGTTTTTTCACTCACATGCCCGGCCAAAGCTGTCCCTCCCCAGGGCTGCTGTTCTTACCACGCAGAGAAAGGAATGCTCGAGAGAGGTACCTGTCACTACCATGCTGTAGAATATTCAGACAAGTCCTGCGAGTCTTTGATTAGCAGCAGCAATCTAAGGTGTTAAGATCTTTGTGTCAGGCTGCAGCAGCAAGTACAACTGACTCAAGCTTCTCTGAGCTGGAAATGACCCAGAATCATTATGTAGAGTGATGTTTAACCTGTCATCAAAATAAAACCAAATTTAAAAGAAACCCACAAGTACCGATGTCAAAGGTACAGTAACATTTAATAGCATCTCGGAAGACAACATTGGTTATAAACTTGCTTTTTTGGCAGGAAAACAAAATGCACTTGGTCCAGGTTGCAAAAAAAGCCAACTCAAAGAGGAAAGATAAGACAGCTGGAGCATCAGGTGTTCTAGAGCAGCCCTGAGCCATTAACACTCACAAGGGAGCCCTGGCACCACATCCGCAGAGGGAGCAGCACAGGTCCCACTTCCAGGCCCATCCATCCCCCCAGGCAGCCTGCCGAGCTACACCAGCCTTCACCCCCAGACCCAGCAGCGGGTGGTCAGGCCCCAGCTTTGTGCAGTATTTTTGCATCAAAACAAAACAAACAAAAAACAACTTAGTTGCCATAATCTCTGCAGTTGAGATGAAGAAAAAAAATAAAGGAAGTGAGGCAGCAGGATTTACAATTTTAACAGCAACTGGGAGAAGTGGGAAGTAACATGCAACCTTAAGCCCTTCCCTCCTGAAGCAGAAGCTTTCCCTGCAGAGGAGAGGGCTGACAGATGGCTGCACTTCGCACAGCCCCAGAGGCTTTGCTGTTTACAGAGGCACTGGAAGCTGCGGTGTGAGCCAGGCCCAGCTTTGTTCAGAGGCCATGCGCAGCGAGCGTCAGACTTTCTTTGGATCCCTCTGAGATGACATCAGGGTTAGGCAGGAGGGAATCAGAGGCAGCTGCAATGAGGAATTTTGGTCAT